TTAGGCCAGGCGTGGTGGCTCACACCTGGAATCCCAGCACTTTGGGAGGCAGAGGTAGGCGGATCACTTGAGCTCAGGAGTTCAAGACCAGCCTGGCCAACATGGTGAAACCCCATCTCTACTAAGAATACAAAACTTTGCCAGGTGTTATGGCGCACACCTGTAGTCCCAGCTACTCGGGAGGCTGAGACAGGAGAATTACTTGAACCCGGGAGGCGGAAGGTGCAGTGAGCCTAGATCATGCCACTGCACTCCAGCCTGGATGACAGAGCAAGACTCTGCCTGGAGAAAAAAAAAAAAAATTGCTGGGATTACAGGCATGAGCCACTGAGCCCAACCTAAGAGTTTTTCTTTATTCTTAGAATTTGAGCATTTCAGGCTGGGCACAGTGGCTCACACCTGTAATCCCAGCACTTTGGGAAGCCGAGGCAGGTGGATCACTTGAGCTCAGGAGTTCAAGACCAACCTGGCCAATGTGGCAAAACCCTGTCTTTACTAAAAATACAAAAATGAGCTGGGCGTGGTGGCACACCCCTGGAATCCCAGCTACTCAGGAGGCTGAGGCAGGAGAATAGCTTGAACCAAGGAGGTGGAGGTTGCAGTGAGCTGAGATCATACCATTGTACTCCAGCCTGGGTGACAGAGCAAGACCACATCTCAAAAAAAAAAAAAGGGGGGGGGGGAGAATAGGGTTGGTGGGGGGCCTGTTGTGTGTTGTTAGTTAATTAATCCCATCTAAGACTTGGTGAGCCATTCCTTCATCTCAGGGAAATTTTCCTTCATACTTGTTTAATTCTGACATCTCCACCTGATCCCTTTTCTCCCCCTGCATTTCCTGTTATTTCCATATTTGGTCTCCTGGACTTGGCATCCAGGTCTCTCTACTTTTTCATTCAAATCATCGAACCTTAGCTCCATGCCTTTCAGTGGTTCTTCTGTTCGGACTTGCAGACCATTACTGATTTTTCATAGTGTGACCTTCTTCATTTTACTTGTTAAGTGTTTTAATGCTCTAATTAATGTTTTAGAAAGACCATTCTGGCAGCTGTTGGGAGAGACTGGAGAGGAATACAGAGGAAGTGAGGACTGGTTAGGAGGCAGTTTCAGGTGAGAGATATGATGGCTCAGACAGGGTGAGAAGACGGAGATGAGAGAACAGGTAGGATGGAGGAATGCTTTACATGCAGTAGCCATAGGGCTTGGCGGTGGTTTGGACCTGGGAGTTAAGCGAGTGGGAGGGGGACAAGGATGTCTCTCAGGTTTCTGGTCTATCAAACAACTGAACAGATAGAGATGCTGTTTGTTGAGATGGGGAGTAGAGGAGGAGGCCATGTCTAGAGTGGATCTTGGGCTTCTCTCTTTGGACCCCTTAGGTTTGCAGTGCCCCATGAGACATCCAGGGAAAAGCAGTGACATGCAAACGTGGCCTAGGGTTTGTTTCCCCCCTCAGCTCTGTGGGAGAATTGGGCTCCATGGGAATGCTGTTTAGGGATGGCATTTGCTTGCAAATGACAGTGGGTTAAACAAATAGAAGTTGATTGGTTTCACACAAGAGAGTTTGAAAGTTAGCCACTTGGGCCGGGTGCGGTGGCTCACACCTGTAATCCCAGCACTTTGGGAGGCCAAGGTGAAGGGGGCCTGCCCCTCCACACCTGTGGGTATTTCTCATCAGGTGGAGACAAGAGGCTGAGAAAATAAGACACAGAGACAAAGTATAGGGAAAGAACAGTGGGCCCAGGGGACCAGCACACTCAGCATGCAAGGACCTGCACCAGCATCGGTTTCTGAGTTCCCTCAGTATTTACTGATCACTATTTTTACTGTCTTGGCAAGGGGAGTGTGGCAGGGCAACAGAGTGATGGTGGGGAGAAGGTCAGCAGGCAAACGTGTGAGCAAAGGAATCTGTATCATGAATAAGTTCAAGGAAAGGTACTGTGCCTGGATGTGCATATAGGCTAGATTTATGTTTCACTTTACACAAATATCTCAGTGTAGCAAAGAGTAACAGAGCAGTATTGCTGCCAGCATATCTCGCCTCCAGCCACAGGGCAGTTTTCTCCTATCTCAGACTAGAACGAATGGTTGGCTTTACACCGAGACATTCCATTCCCAGGAACAAGCAGGAGACAGAAGCCTTCCTCTTAACTGCAAAGAGGCCTCCCTCTTTCACTACTCCTCAGCACAGACCCTTTATGCGTGTCGGGCTGCGGGATGTAAGGTCTTTCCTTTCCCATGAGGCCATATCTCGGGCTGTCTCAGTGAGGGGAAACCTTGGACAATACCCAGGCTTTCTTGGGCAGAGGTCCCTGTGGCTTTCCGCAGTGCATTTTGTCCCTGGTATTAGAGAATGGAGAATGGCGATGACTTTTACCAAACATACTACCTGCAAACATATTGTTAACAAGGCACATCCTGCACAGCCCTAAATCCATTAAACCTTGATTCAATACAGCACATGTTTCTGTGAGCACAGGGTTGGGGCTGAAGTTACATACAGATTAACAGCATCTCAAACCAGAACAATTTTTCTTAATACAGATCAAAATGGAGTTTCTTATGTCTTCCTTTTCTGCATAGACACAGTAACAATCTGATCTCTCTTTCTTTTCCCCACACAAGGCGGGTGGATCACCCAAGGTCAGGAGTTTGAGACCAGCCTGGCAAACCCTGTGTCTACTAAAAATACAAAAAATTAGCCAGGCATGGTGGCAGGCACCTGTAATCCCAGCTACTCGGGAGGCTGAGGCAGGAGAATTGCTCGAACCTGGGAGGCAGAGGTTGCAGTGAGCAAAGATTGCACCATTGCATGCCAGCCTGGGTGACAGAACAAGACTCCTTCTCAAAAAAAAAAAGCCACTGGACATTGCCATTGTTGGCTTAGTAGCCCTCTGGTGTCAGGGCTATAGGAGAGGATCTCTGAAGATCCTCTCGAACTTACCCTCAGATGGCCACTGCTGCTTCAACCACCACATTTTATGTGAGGTGGGAAGAAAGGATGCGAGGCAAAATGAAAAAGAGAGAGAAACTGTCAGGTGCAGTGGCTCACACCTGTAATCCCAACACTTTGGGAGGCCAAGGCAGGAGGATCTCTTGAGCCCAGGAGTTCAAGACCATAGGCAATATAGTAAGATCCCATCACTACCAAAAAAAAAAAAAAAATCATCCAGACATGGTGGCACACGCCTGTAGCCCCAGCTACTCAGGAGGCTGAGGCAAGAGGATCGTTTGAGCCCGGGAGTTTGAGGCCACAGTAAGCTATGATCACACCATTGCACTCCAGCCTTGGGGGACAGAGAAAGACTGTCTCAAAAAAAAAAAAAAAGAAAGAAAAAAAAAAGAAAAAGATGCCTGTAATCCTAGCACTTTGGGAAGCCAAGGCGGGCCGATCACCTGAGGTCAGGAGTTCGAGACCAGCCTGGACAACACAGTGAAACCCTGTGTCTAGTAAAAATACAAAAATTAGGCCGGGTGCCATGGCTGATGCCTGTAATCCCAGTACTTCAGGAGGCCAAGGCGGGCAGATCACCTGAGGTTGGGAGTTCGAGACCAGCCTGACTAACATGGAGACACCCCGTCTCTACTAAAAATACAAAATTAACCAGGCATGGTGGTACATGCCTGTAATCCCAGCTACTCGGGAGGCTGAGGCAGGAGAATCACTTGAACCCAGGAGGTGGAGGTTGTGGAGAGCTGAGATCCCATCATTGCACTCCAGCCTGGGCAACGAGTGAAACTCCGCCTCAAAAAAAAAAAAAAAAAATTAGCTGGACCTGGTGGTGGGCACCTGTAATCCCAGCTACTCGGGAGGCTCAGGCAGAAGAACTGCTTGAACCCAGAAGGTGGAGTTTGTAGTGAGCCAAGATCGCACCACTGCACCCCAGCCTGGGCGACAGAGTGAGACTCCGTCTCAAAAAAAAAAAGAAAAAAGAGGCTGGGTGCGGTGGCTCACGCCTATAATCCCAGCACTTTGGGTAGGCCGAGGCGGGTGGATCACGTGAGGTCAGGAATTCAAGACCAGCCTGACCAACATGGTGAAACTCCGTCTCTACTAAAAATACAAAAATTAGCTGGGCATGGTGGCAGGCACCTGTAATCCCAGCTACTTGGGAGGCTGAGGCAGGAGAATCACTTGAAACCAGGAGGCAGAGTTTACAGTGAGCCACATTCACACCACTGCATTCAGCCTCAGTTACAAAGTAAGACTCTGTCTCAAAAAAAAAAAAAAAAAAAAAGGCATGTACTGCATACCTGTTCCACTTTTGCACAAATATTTTATTTCTAAAGTATGTCTGGGCTCTGGACTAGGGTGAATGAAGTTCATATCCCAGCCCTACTATTTCCTGGCTGTAGAATCTTGGTCACTTACTCTTTGTTCCAAACCTTTTTGTCATCGTCTGTAAAATGAGAATGGTAATATTAGTGTGCACTGTTTGTGGGAGGAGGACTGGCAAGAATATGAGAGTAGGAGTTTGGGCTCTTGAGCTTTGGGCCTGGCCTTCAAATTTCCACTCTTTCACTCACTAGCTAAGGGGCCTTGGGCAAGTACCTTATTGTGACTGTGCCTGTTTCCTCAAAGAGAGTCACAGTAATGTAGTACTCAACCGATAGGACTGAAGTGACTATTGCATGAGTCAGTATTTGCAAAGAATTCAGAATAGTTCCTGGCACACAGCACTATGGAAGCATTAGCTAGTAGTATTATTCCCTATATTGCTGTTCAGCACTTGTCCTAGTGCTTGGCACATAGTAACTGCTCAATAAATATTACTTTATATCATTAAAATGTTAGAGGCTGCCCAGCCATTTCCTGAGACATCTACTACAAAAGAATTGTTCATGGTTTGATTTTGTTTTTTACATGATTTGGATGATACAGGAAGAGGGACTGGGAGTCGTTTGTTCCCCTGCAGGTAGCCCAGCTTCAGTAGAAGGAGAGGAAACTGGCCCTGAGGTCTGGGTTATCATCCCCATTCTCATAGCACTTTGTTCTGTTTGCCCAGGCCCATTGCTGGAAGACTGGGACATTATCAGCCCCAAAGATGTCATTGGCTCCGACGTGTTGCTGGCTGAGAAACGGTCATCACTGACGACTGCTGCCCTGCCCTTTACACAGTCCATCCTCACTCAGGTGTTTTCAGGGACCCTGGGGACCCAGCTGTGGTTGGAGGGCAGAGCCTACCTGGCACCCTGGTTCTCAGCATGCTGGCTGGCATCTGCCCTTACTCCATGCAGTTGATCCCTCCTTCCTTCTCATAGGTGGGCCGTACCTTGTCTAAGGTCCAACAAGTGCTGAGCTGGTCGTATGGGGAAGATGTCAAGCCCTTCAAGCCACCCCTGAGCGATGCTGAGTTTCACACGTACCTGAACCACGAGGGCCAACTCTCCCGACCCGAGGAATTGCGCCTGCGGATCTATCATGGCGGTGTGGAGCCCTCGCTGCGAAAGGTGAGCATCCTCAGTCATCTGTTGGGTCCATCACTGCTGCACTCATTAACAGCTCCTGAGACACATGCAGTCAGCCACACTGCTGTGGGCGAGGGTGGAGATGTTCCAGGGCACGAAGCTCTCTTTAGGGAGGGGTGAGCAGTTGGAGGCCTAGCAGACTTATCAGAAGGAAGACAGAGGCCCAAGGAGGGTGGGTGGGTGGCGACTGATAGACACTGGGGTGTGGCTCATCTGGAGAATTCCAGCCTCATCCCTTTCACCCCTGGCCAGGTGGTGTGGCGGTACCTGCTGAACGTGTATCCAGATGGACTGACAGGCCGAGAGCGGATGGACTACATGAAACGCAAGAGCCGCGAGTATGAGCAGCTCAAGAGCGAGTGGGCCCAGCGAGCGAGCCCTGAGGACCTGGAGTTCATCCGCAGCACAGTCCTCAAGGATGTACTGCGCACTGACCGGGCCCACCCCTACTATGCGGGGCCTGAGGATGGCCCACATCTACGGGCACTGCACGACCTGCTCACCACTTATGCCGTTACCCACCCACAGGTGTCCTACTGCCAGGGCATGAGTGACCTTGCCTCACCCATCCTTGCCGTCATGGACCATGAGGGCCATGCCTTTGTTTGCTTTTGTGGCATCATGAAGCGCCTGGCCGCCAACTTCCACCCTGACGGCCGCGCCATGGCCACCAAGTTTGCACACTTGAAGCTGTTGCTGCGACACGCTGACCCTGACTTTTACCAATACCTGCAAGAGGCAGGTGCTGATGACCTCTTCTTCTGTTACCGCTGGCTGCTGCTGGAGCTCAAGCGTGAGTTTGCCTTTGATGACGCCCTCCGCATGCTTGAGGTCACCTGGAGTTCGCTGCCCCCTGATCCTCCTGAACATGAGGTAGAGCTGGTTGGACCCCCCAGCCAAGTGGCAGACACTGGTTTTGGTGGCCACAGGGGGTGGCCCGTGCGACAGAGGCACATGCTGAGGCCTGCTGGTGGAGGAGGTAGTACCTTTGAAGATGCTGTTGACCACCTGGCCACAGCCAGTCAGGGGCCTGGTGGTGGGGGGCGTCTCCTGAGACAGGCCAGCTTGGATGGCCTCCAGCAACTCAGGGATAACATGGGCTCCAGGAGGGACCCTCTGGTCCAGCTGCCCCACCCAGCTGCCCTTATCAGCTCCAAGTCCCTCTCCGAGCCTTTATTGAACTCCCCAGACCCACTGCTCTCCTCCTTTTCCCACCCTGATTCCCCATCTTCCTCATCTCCACCATCCACCCAGGAGCCCTCTCCCACTGGTGATATGGCTGTAGGATCCCCCTTGATGCGAGAGGTAGGCTCCCCGAAAGACCCTGGAAAGTCCCTGCCACCTGTACCACCAATGGGCCTGCCCCCACCCCAGGAGTTTGGCCGGGGGAACCCATTCATGCTGTTCCTCTGCCTGGCCATCCTGCTGGAGCACCGCGACCACATCATGCGCAATGGGCTGGATTATAACGAGTTGGCCATGCACTTTGACCGCCTTGTGCGAAAACACCACCTGGGGCGCGTCCTGCGCCGGGCCAGGGCTCTCTTTGCTGATTACCTGCAGTCAGAGGTGTGGGACTCGGAGGAGGGGGCTGAGGCCACAGCTGCATCTTGATCAGGCTTTCTCTAGCCCTCCATTGGCTCTACCAGATCTCCATTCTTTGCCACGAGGGCCAACACATGAGACCCCACCTCCCTCCCTGCCTGCCAGCCCTAGACCTGTTGGAGCATAGATCCCTTCCTCCCCAGGTCTAAGTATGTGGAGCTCTGCTTAGGCACTGCCCCACAGAGGCCACGCCTCTTTATTCTGTTTCTGTTGTTTTGTTTTTAACAACTATACTTTGCACACATGAAGGTCACTGTGGTTTGTGTGTTTCTCTGCCTCCTCCCTGGGTTTTGCTGTAGATGGAGTCCTCAGGGGCCCTTTACCTGATAGAGGGGAAAAAATTCACTTGGTGGAGAGAGGCTCCAGCTTCCCCCTTGTGATGGGGAGAGTGGATGCTGAGAATCGGTTCCTGAAGGTGAGCCCAGGTGGGGCACTGCTTGAGGAAGGCCTGAGTCTGTTTTTTTGGTACATCCATCTGCCTGTAAGGGTCTGTATTATGGCTGTGAATATATGTTTTCAGGACAGCACCCTGGATGAGAGATAAGAGAGTTCCTGGCTCAAAAAAGGACAAGATTCTTTACTGAGATAGGGAAGTATGGGCTACTTAGAAATGTTGGAACGATTTCCTTTGCCGGGCGCGGTGGCTCACGCCTGTAATCCCAGCACTTTGGGAGGCCGAGGCGGGCGGATCACAAGGTCAGGAGATCGAGACCACGGTGAAACCCCATCTCTACTAAAAATACAAAAAATTAGCCGGGCGCGGTGGCGGGCGCCTGTAGTCCCAGCTACTCAGGAGGCTGAGGCAGGAGAATGGTGTGAACCCGGGAGGCGGAGCTTGCAGTGAGCGGAGATCGCGCCACCGCACTCCAGCCTGGGCGACAGAGCGAGACTCCGTCTCAAAAAAAAAAAAAAAGAAAAGAAATGTTGGACCAGCCACCCCTGGCATTTCACATGTCACCATTTCTAGGATCTTGACCTCTCTGTGATGTTTATGCACCAATGCTGGCAGCCCTGGGCAGGGGCCTCAGCCTCCTTTTTGTTTTCCACTTCAGACAGATACCGTGCAGATGTTAACAAGGTTTGAGGGAGGCACGTCTCACACATGAGCATGAAAGCCCAATCATCACATTGTTGAATTACAAAAGGATCTAGGACTCCTATTCTTGTCACTAGCTTTGGAGCCAGTTTGAAGGACTGTGGCCTAGCCCATGCCTAGGGGCCCTAAACTGGGATTCCAGCTCACAGCACCTGTCTTAACCATTTCAGCAATAGAAACCACTTATTTACCTTCTCCATCTCACTAATACGGAGAAACATCAAACACTGATAAAACGCAGGCCATAATAGAATTCACTTCATTATTTGGAGGATAATGATCAAAAAAAGGTCCTTTTTCCCACTGACATGCTCAGAGGATGGGATTCTCTCACAGGCCAGGTGCTGTCATCCACAAAGGATGGGTGAAATAACTGGGCTTCTCAGGTCACAGTCTAGCCACACCAGCTTCTTCCAAGTACTAACCAGGCTTGACCCTGCTTAGCTTCAGAGGTCAGACAAGATCTGGCATGTTCCAGATGGTATGGCTGTAAACCGGGCTGAGCTCTGGCCTGAGCTGTTGCACTAGGCAATGCTGCCAGAGATGAGGAGGCATCAGGGCAGTCATTCCCTCTGCTGTTTGCCCCAAGAATGCCATACAAACCTGGGGATGACCCTTAAAAGGCTCCCGTCACCCCCAGTATTGGGGGGAAGCTGACTATTCCTCAGATGAGAGCCCAGTCCCTTAAAGAGCAGGACGAGACTATTCTGTGTCTAGGGGGCTCAAGCACTGTGTGTGGGTCTTACGAGTGCATTTTGTGGAAATGGGCTCAGACTCCCCAAAGGGCCATCCAACCTATGGGAGTGTCTGGCCTTCTGAGGTCCTGAAATGTCTCTCTTGTCAGTAAACAGCTAATACCCTCTGGGATGCATTCTGTGATTAATGAGCTCAGGTGTTTGAAGGACCAGACAAGCCAATTCTGTGGATGGTAGTTTGGGACCTCTGAGGGACAGAAGAGTCCTTTCTGTGAATAGGAGGCTGATACCCTGAAAGGCAGAAACCTCTACTATTCCTCTAGGATACTTGGGGTTTCTGGTTCCTACAAAGATGGCAGACAGCACAAGCTACTGATTCCTTTGCCCGAAACCAACTCTGGAGAAACTAGAGAGGGAAACATGGGTTCCAGATATTGCAACATAGCAATGAGAGACCCATGGGGAAATGGAAGACTCTCTTTCACTGGTGTGTGTGTTGATGGGCGGATGGGCGGATGGCCAGAGGCAGTAAACAGAGGATAGGTTAGGGAAAAAGAGATTTACGTTCTGGCTCTCACCTCTCCCCTAGATTGCCTTGGGGAGGTCGTTGTTTGCCCCCTTCATTGCATTAGTCATCCAAACCACTGGTACACATGTCTGGGGAACTAGGATCAGGGCAGCAAGGGCCCTGCAGGGGAAAGAAATAGGCAGCCAGAGGAAATCAGTCCTCCACTTCTCCCACTCCAGACACCCAGGCTGGTGGATTACACCTAAGGAGACTGCCATCCCCTTTTTTTTTTTTTTTTTTTTTTTTTTTGAGACAGAGTCTTGCTCTGTCACCCAGGCTGGAGTGCAGTGGCGTGATCTCGGCTCACTGCAACCTCTACCTCCTGTGTTCAAGGAATTCTCCTGTCTCAGCCTCCTAAGTAGCTGGGACTACAGGTGCCTGCCACCACGCCTGGTTAATTTTTGTATTTTAGTAGAGACAGGGTTTCACCTTGTTGGTCAGGCTGGTCTTGAACTCCTGACCTCAGGTGATCCACCTGGCTCAGCCTCCCAAAGTGCTGGGATTACAGGCATGAGCCACCACACCCAGCCAAGACTGCCACCTCTTAAAGCGGTTTTTCCCCAACGGTTTAAAGATGAACCCCACGCTAGGGGGATTGTTAGGTGTCCAAAGAGCAAGTGAGCGGGATAACTGTGCTTCTGTGGTGCCTGTGGCTGTTCAGCCTCTGGCTCCTCTCCCACACATCCTTTTACCCCCTGGAGCTCCAGGTCATTGAGCTGACTCGAGTTGGCCTTCAGCCTTTCCTCAGTATGTTCTATCAGCCAGGAGAGCAGATAATTTCAGGGGTGTGTAAGTTCACCACCAAAATAACCAGACACCAGGGCAGTATGACTTCCACCAAAGAAAAATAAACTGGACATTCTCTAGTGCTGGATAATAAATTACCCCAAACTTAGCCACTTAAAACATCACAGTTTCTGGGGTGGGTACGGTGGCTCACGCCTATAATCCCAGCACTTTGAGAAGCCGAGGCAGGCAGATCACCTGAGGTCAGGAGTTTTGAGACCAGCGTGGCCAACATGGTAAAAACCCATCTCTACTAAAAATACAAAAAATTAGCTGGGCATGGTGGCGCACCTGTAGTCCCAGCTACTTGGGAAGCTGAGGCAAGAGAATTGCTTGAGCCCGGGAGGCGGAGGTTGCAGTGAGCCAAGATTGTGACCCTGCACTCTAGCCTGGGCAACAGAGTGAGACTCCATCTCAAAAAACAACAACAACAACAACAACAACAACAAAACTATCACAGTGTCTGAGGGTCAGGAATCTGGAAGCAGCCTAGCTGGGTGGTTTTGACTCACGGTCTCTCCTGACGTTTTACTCAAGTTGACAGCCAGGACTGCAGTCAGCTGAAGGCTTCACTTGGCTGACAGACCCACTTCCAACATGGCCCACTCACAGGGCCATTGGCAAGAGGCTTCAGTTTGTCACCACCTGAGCATCTCCGTGGGCTCCTCACAACATGTCATCCTAACGAGCAGGTGAGACCGTGACCAAGACAGAAGCCACAATGTCTATCATAACCTCAGAAATGACAGACCATCACTTCTACTGTATTTTATTGGTCACATAGACCAACCCTAGCACAACATGGGAAGGGACTATACAGGGCATGAATACCATGAGGCAGGAATCATCGGGGGCTGTATTGGAGGCGGGCTCCTACACTGGGTAACGTATAATATCTGAAGCAGAAGTATTGAAACAGATGAAAAATTTTAAATAAACATAATAAATAAAAACTATTAGAATATAGGGCTGGGCGTGGTGGCTTACGCCTGTAATCCCAGCACTTTCGGAGGCCGAGGTGGGCAGAGCACGAGGTCAGGAGATGACACCATCCCGGCTAACACAATGAAACCCCATCTCTACTAAAAATACAAAAAATTAGCCAGGTGTAGTGGCAGACGCCTGTAGTCCCAGCTACTTGGGAGGCTGAGGCAGAAGAATCGCTTGAACCCAGGAGGTGGAGGTTGCAGTGAGCAGTGAGCCACTACACTCCAGCCTGGGCAACAAAGCGAGATGCTGTCTCAAAAAAAAAAGATTAAAATATAAAACAGGAACTAGAGATTATAAAAAGGACCCCCAAAAATGTTAGGTGTGAGTATGATGGTAGACAAAAACAAAACAGCCCGGCGTGGTGGCTCATGCATGTAATCCCAGCACTTTGGGAGGCTGAGGCAGGAACATCACTTGAGCTCAAGAGTTTGAGACCAGCTTGGGCAATATGGCAAAACCCCATATCTACATAAAATACATCTCTACATAAAATACAGGTGTGGTGGTGCATCCCTATGGCCCTGGCTACTTGGGAGGCTGAGGTGGGAGAATCACTTGAGCCCAGGAGGTTGAAGCTGGAGTGAGCTGAGATCGTGCCATTGCACTCCAGCCTGGGTGACAAGAGCAAGACCCTGTCTCAAAAATAAAATTTTTTTTAAAAAGTGTAAATGGAGAATATGGAATGAGATGTCCCAGTAGTAATTATAAAAATATTTGAAACACAGAGACCCTCATTGAATTTAAAAAAAAAAAAAAAGTCCAACAGCATACACACACACAAAGATTGAGAAATGTTGAAAATGAAAGGATGAGCTGGGCGCGGTGGCTCATGCCTGTAATCCCAACACTTTGGGAGGCTGAGGTGGGCAGATCACGAGGTCAGGAGATCGAGACCATCCTGGCTAACACAGTGAAACCCCGTCTCTACTAAAAATACAAAAAGTTAGCCGGATGTGGTGGCAGACGCCTGTAGTCCCAGCTGCTCAGGAGGCTGAGACAGGAGAATGGCGTGAACCTGGGAGGCGGAGTTTGCAGTGAGCCGAGATCAGGCCACTGCACTCCAACCTGGCCGACAGAGCAAGACTGTCTCAAAAACAAAAAAAAAAGAAAAAG